GCTTTCTGCCCTCTCTCCTCTCCCTCTGCAGGTTCCCTGGTCCAGGCAGCGCTGACTCAGCCGGCCTCAGTGGACGTGTCCCTGGGAGGCACCGCACAGATCTCCTGCTCTGGTGCTAGCAGTGGCAGTGCTTATGGCTGGTGGCAGCAGAAACCTGGTGGTTCCCTGGTCCTTGTGATATATAACAACAACCAGAAGTCTTGGACCTCCCTCGTCACCCATGGGCAATGGGAAGGTGAAGAAACCTGCGCCTTGGGCAGTGTGGGGACGTTGTCACGTGGTGGCTCTGAGCTGAGGGGAGCAGGATGCCCTTCATAAGGTGGAGGGAAGATGGAGACGGGAGGGCAGGTGGGATGGGAACTCTGTCAGACGTCGGCAGTGATCACGAGGCAGAGGCGCGTGGGGACGCACAGCGAGTGGCATTGCGCCATGGCCTGGGCCCCTCTCCTCCTCGCGGTGCTCGCCCACGGCTCAGGTGCCCTGGGCAGCCTGGCTGTGCGCGGCCGGCACAGGGGTCCCGGGGCGTCGCGCTGCGCGGGGGGCTTTGCTGCTGCGGCACTCGCTGACCCGCCGCTTTCTGCCCTCTCTCCTCTCCCTCTGCAGGTTCCCTGGTCCAGGCAGCAGTGACTCAGGAACCGGCCTCGCTGGACGTGTCCCCGGGAGGCACCGCCAAGATCTCCTGCTCTGGTAGCAGCTACTATGGCTGGTACCAGCAGAAACCTGGTGGTTCCCTGGTCCCTGTGATTTATTACAACGACAAGAGACCCTCGGGCATCCCTGAACGATTCTCCGCTTCCACCTCTGGCTCCACAAACACCTTAACCATCACTGGGGTGCAAGCCGAGGATGAGGCCGTGTATTACTGTGGTGACTGAGACAGCAGCATTAGTGCTTACACGGTGACACTGAGCAATGGGGAAGTGTGACACAAACCTCCTGCCATTCCATGGACCATTGAACAGCGTCTGGTGTCTTGGTGTGATGGTCGCACAAGCCCCAGCCATAGCTCTTGCCACGCTGATCTGCGTTGCCTATGTCTGTGCCCGATCGCCCTACTAACTCCTCCATCAGAAACATAGGGCTCTGACCGTCCCCATCTTCAAGCTGCTCACGGGGAGGGAATAGACCCCAGGCTGTTTGGGACCATACTGGGGTTTGTCTCCTGCCTGCCACCCTGTACTACTGTCACGACAGCTCTGGTGGTGTTGTGGGAGCACTGATGGGATTTGGGGGTGCTGGACAGTGCCACAGCCCCCTGAGAGTGTCCTGACCAGCCTGGCTCTCCTACATAGGCTGCTGCATGTGGCCATTCCCATCTTGGGCCGTGCACATAAATCTATAGCCTCTCACCGTGAAAGCAATTTCCGCCTCAACTTGGAGTCAGCACCAGGAACCTCCAATGCCTTGGAGATGTGAGTGAAATGCGTTGAGTGGACTTGGAATTGCCCAGTGCAGGGAGCACCTGTCCGCGTTACCTTAAACATGTGCACGTCTTCAGCACAGCCCCATGGCTGGATGGTCATGGGATGCCAGAGCAAGGCAGCTTCTCTGGATGCCTTGTGAGGACGGGACCTTAGAGCATCTGTGAGAAGTTTTAGGAATCTGTTTTGGCTGAGTTTTCTTTTTCAGGAAAGAAGCATCGAGGTTCCTTTCCCCAGGCATCTTGCTCCAGATGACTGTTATCCTGTGACACTTGAGAGAAACCCAGTTCTTGCAGGCTTGTGTTGTCCAGACGCTGGTTTGCATAGTTCCTGCGTGGTGGGACCTGCGGGCACAGGCATCCCAGGGCGTCGCGCTGCGCGGGGGGCTTTGCTGCTGCGACACTCGCTGACCCGCCACTTTCTGCCCTCTCTCCTCTACCTCTGCAGGTTCCCCGGTCCAGG